AGAGATTATGAATCAGCACTTGTGTAAAAATCAGTGTTTTATTTCATCTGTTAAATGTTTATTTTTATTTTTTATGTTTTTAAAAGTGGCAAAAAAAATATGAATTAATTTCTTTTCATGGAGCTGTGTTAGGGGAATGAGAAAGCAGTAAAAAAAATCAAAATTTAAAGCGACCGCTCTCTTTAAATTGCTTGTTACATGTGACTGTTTCTTTAGTAGACTTTTGAATAATTATTTTTTAACTATAAATTTTTTGTTTCGAATGACCAATTGAAGGCAAGAAAATACAACTTACGAAAAAGTAAAGAAATCAAACGAACAAATTAAGATCAATTATTTTATTTTTTTTATAATCCTTGATTTTCAGTTATCCTTGAAAAATTTTTAATGTATAAACACAAATTTTAGGATTTACATATAAAAATGAATATATACTGTTATATGAATCTTATACATATATACACATGTATATGTAAATGTATACATAATTTGTGTTATTATTTCTATTATTTTGTATTTCTCAAAAAAAATTATTTATTACGCAAATAAATGTACATACATACATATATACATACATAAATATTTAAATTTTTCATTGTTTCAAATTTCTGCACAATTGTACGAAATCTGAATATATACCCATTATAAATGTTATATTGCATTTGCTTTGGCTACTTTTTATAGAAATAATTTTTCCTATTGTCGCATTATATCCTCCCCATTGTCTTAAATAATTTATAAAAGTGAAAAAAGAAAAAAATCAGTTCCTATTTCTAAATATATACATATGCGTGTATAGTACTAAAATATTTAACGAAACGATATTGTATACTACATATACTTACATATATAATAAATGAAATATGTGTATTGCATACATTAATTTACATTCACGGAAAGAAAAATATGTTATCTACCATTGCAAATGGAAAATTCTCAAGAAAGCAATTCTTTATTAGTTTTCTTTTAAATGTAAGATATTTTACTAGTTACTAGTAACAAATAGAATTTTATAGAATTGTAAAAATGTTATTATATTGTAAACTTAAAATACATAACGTAAATTTTTATACGAGCACAATATGACCTATAACCTTCAATTTTTAAAATATTTACAATCGCCGGCAAGACTTTTATTTTGAATCGAAAATTCGGTGCCAAAAAATTAGTATTTATAAAAGCATGGAAGATTTCATTAAAAAATTATTAATATTTTGTGAAAAACGATTTTGTACAAAAGAAGTTTATTAAATTTAAGTAAAATTATTATTTCTAATTTATACAAACAAACATTTTTCTTATAAAATAATTTAATTTTTCCTACAATTGATTATAAATTTCTTTCAGTGTATAGTTTTATTGTTTATTCGATTTTCTCTTTACTGCATTTTATATTATAAAATACACTTTGAGTAATTTATAATAAATGCACTCTCTCATAATAAAATAAAATTCGATCTAGATATATGGGATCGACATAAATTTCTTGTGTTCATGTTTATAAATAAATTACCGTTTTTTTTTTTTGTTTGTTCTTTTTTATTTTGTCGAAGATTATATTATTTATGCATTTAAAACAAATTATGAGTTATGACTTATACGAGAGTAGTACTCATTCATGAAAAAAAATAATAAAACAATATATGTATATACTTTATTCATATACCTATTGTACTGTACAGGGTTTATTCTGATTGATGACTTTTTAATTTATTCGAATCGTAGTCAAATATAAAATGTTGGATATTGCTAGATTTATTGTAGGCCTTAGCGTTTTCTAAACAAAATTGCACTAAAAAAATACACAGTACTTATGAAATAATTAATTTTTTTGCCGTCTTAATGACATGAGTTGCGGAAAATTGAAAACTAATTCCTTTTAGTTTCCTTAATAATTAATTTAATTTGATTGTTACTCTTTGAAAATATATGAAATTTTTTATTATAGAAATACGGCAGAACGTCATTTATCTGACTGCCATTTCAATTACGTCAACCGTTTTCATTTGTAAATGAAATTTACGAATAAAGCAACTCTTGTTAGCTAATGCTTTGTAATTTATAAATAATGAATCTCGGTTTCCTTACCTATTTTCCTTTTTTAAATCAAAATTTTTATCAATTAGTTTTTGCAAATGCAGTAATACCCGATTAAGCGTAAAAAAAAAGTACAATCACTTATGTTAGTATAAAATATTGAAATTCATGACGCTAGCGCCAAAAAGTACTTACTTCTGAAACAATTTAACAGCGATTCCCGAAATGTTTTTTAAATTCGGAATATAATTTAAAATTCTTTATTATGTTTTTTTATTTTCCTGGGATTTCGATTTTTTTTAAATTAATATTTCAATCTTAAAATCTAGGTATACTTGCTTGAATAAAATTAATAGAAAATAATGTACCCCCATTGTCACAAGCAATTTTTTGTCAAGAAACTTTTTTCTTGCTGCAAAAATTCTTTCTCAAATATATTTTCCTAAAATTTCTTCCTTCTCCTAATATTTTTTTTCTAAAATAATATTTTTGTTTAATAATTACTTTCTACGCAAAATAGTTCACCCTGTAAATGAATGTGTAAACATGCATACATTACCTGTCTTACAAGTATGTATTATGTATGCATGTATTTGCATATTATAAGAGTACTTAAGGTATTAGGTCATTTTTTTTCTTTTTTATTGCTATACTCGTATAAGTTGTAATAAAAAAATTTGTAAGCATAATGAGACCTAAGTACAAAGTTACATGTTAAAAAAAAAAAAACGTAATATTATAGAAATATTTTTTTATTAAGTACATTATGGACTAAAACACGTACCCGTTAATATTATAAATTACTTAATTAAAATGTTAGAAAATAACTAAAAAGTGGTATACATACATAACATAATACATACTTACATATAAAAACTTAATTAAGAAATTTAGAATTTAAAAAAGGAAATATGTGTGTATGTAAGTATGTAGGAAAAATTTTTTAAGGCAGTTCTTATTCTATACAAAAGGAACCATAAAGATTTATAAAAGTCAAAATTAAAAATTTAAAAATCGTCGCCTGAGTTCTAATTTGTCGCCACCAACACGAATTCGAACCTCAATTAAAAAAAAATATGTTCGAACGGTTTTATTTAAATTCTGCAGTTTAGTTTATTAATTGTTTATGTAAAACGGAGTAAAATTTCATGTTACCAAATCTAGACTTTTCGGAGAAATTCAATTTTTTTTTAAGTTGGTCATTTTTGCCATTGCTCTATATCCAATCAGCTTGTTCATACTTCTTCTTTGAATGTGGAGCAACTAATTTTGCAAATGGAGCACAATAGAAGTGAAACATTATTTCAGTAAAATTATATTGAAATCTTATAACGGTGGAGCAAATTATTTGAGAAATCTGAAGGGAAACAACGTATTTCGCCATTTGGGGCAGAACAAGCTAAAAAAAAAGCAAAAATAAGACATATAATTATCCAAAGCTTCGAGTTTTAGATATATTCGAATAAAAAGAAAATTACAGTGTAATGGCCATCGAAACACTTTTAGGGAACCAAATCGTTGTACAGGAAGAAACAATACTTTTTGGGAACCGTATACAATTCCTGCTAAAAATTTCCCGTTTACTCGGAAGAAAATACCTATGATATGCCAAAGATTTGGCACAAACAATAAGGCCTCTTCTGTTTAGAACTCAGTTCCTAAATTATTTTTACAATATTTTATTCTAATTTGTTTTTAACTATTTAATTTGTAACCTTGAATTTTTGCTGCAACTGAATTTTGAAACGGTAAACACGATGATCAGATAAAAAATATCATAAAAATTTTTAATCATACTTTTTAATACATTTTGAATACACTTGAAGAAAATAAAAAATTTAACCTTTAAATTTTAGTTTTGCTCAAAAAAATTTATGTAAATAGTGCAATTTTTCATGTAAAATGCGCTCCATTAGCAAAAAAAAGGGTTTATGGAGCAGATAAGCACAAAAAAATCTGTAAAATGTGGTTTATGGAGGAAGCAAAAACGACACCGAAAATCTTACAAACTAAGGAAGATAAGAAAAAATGGTTTGCGTTACGTAAAAGAGCACTCGTCAAAGCCTATAAAACCACTCTTAAGGCAAAATTTTCAAAAATGCCGTCTGGAGCTAATTAGAACTCAGCCGACGAAAAGTTTATTTTATTAGTTTTACTAATAATTGAAAAAACTTTTAATCCCAAATGCATATAACCTGTACTCCGAAGTTACAACGGAAAAAGAATTGTTGAGGTTTTAGATACTTGTTTAACAATATGTCAACATCGTTTTATTAAACGAATTTTATAAAGAATTCCGGCATTTTTTAAAGGCAACAAACGTTTTACTAAATAACTTCATTGCGATACTCATCTGTATACGTATGTAGTTAAATTAAAAATTGTTAATGTAACCTTATGTTTTTTCATTCGTAAAAGAACGTTTAAAAAAGAACACATACAAGCACTCGAACTGAGACCGCTTGAGATTCTTAAAATTGGAATCTAAACGAGAAATTTACAATATTCTATTGGTGAATATTACTTATCTCTTAATACTATTATTTACTTTTTGTTTATTCATTCTATTTTATCAAATTCAGATTTGAGTACATTAACTTATAATGAAGCTATAAATTTTTTCAGAATTACTTATAGGACAGAATAAATAAGTAACATTAAACTATTATATTGTCCGAAAATTAATTAGCGAAATTTCATGCAATCTCAAGGCTTTATTTTTAATTCAAATAATTAATATTAATCAATGATGTATTTTTCATTTTGATCAATAATCATCTTCATGATTCCGTGCTTATGGAATCTCTGCTTTTTATCAGCAAAAAACTGAATCAAGTGTGAATTTAAATCTGATGGCAGAAGGTCGGGTTATAAACGGGATAATACTAATTTCCTTTCGGACAAATCAATATTTTCATTTATTATTTACAGTAACTTTAAATTTCTTCTTGTCTTATACTTACTCTGCCAAATTGTCTGTCATTTTTTTCCTTAAAATAAAATCCTTATTCTATTTCTGATATACGTAAGTCCTTATATTAAAAATTCTTTTTTTTTCTCCAATCAGTTGTCTATTATAAATTTCTATTTTCTATATTATATTTTAATTAATTTACAATGAAGAAGATTTGTTGATCCATAAAGAGTAATCCAAAGTTTTTATTATGTTTTATTGAAAATTTAATTTTAATTTTGTGATTTATTTACACATTTTTAATTTAGAAGTTTTTATAGATGTTTTTTGTTGAATTTAAAATGAAATCTGAAAATAGAAAAGAGAATTTAAATTTTAATTATTTTAAAAGTTAACTAGGATTTTAAAATTTTAAAATTAATCATTTAATTAAAGCAATAAATAGAAACAAAAATACTACAAAACATTTTAAATTGTAATTCGATTTCAAAACCCAATATAAATTTTAAATTGCCTTATTAATAATTCGATTATTATAAGTTGTAATTTTTTTCCCTCCTAAAAGTATGTAACAAAATGTAATTCTAAGAGAATGATAGGAATGGACCGCTGCAAACAATCGCAATACGTGCAACCAAAGCCATGTATTCTTAATATCTTTGATGCAACATAAAAATATTTTTAAAAAAATCACTCTTAGGTCTGAAAAATTTAAAAAAAAAGTTTGGTTAATTGTAATTATCTCACAGTTAGTTAGCAGTTTGCCAGTAAATGATTTAACGACACTATTATAGATAGTTTCCGTGGTGTTACTTAAAATCAGATGTATTCGTGGTATAAAACTTTGGATAATGCATAAAGTTACTGAACAAACTGAACTCACTGGATTTGTTCCTGTAAGTAAAGATGAACATTTATCAATTTTGTACCTATTTCTCCTTAATTCGCAATTAATTAAAATTATTATTTGAAAACACAAGTAGGTTCTAATTGCCTTAAATGGTATGTTCAATATGTACAACTGGATTTTTAGTCATTTTTCAAAACAAATTCACTTTATACTCTTATTCACGTTTACACCTGAATGTTTATTGCGTAATTGTTTCTTGCATAACGCAAAATTAAACAATTTTTTGCTGAAAACATTACGTTAGAAATACGGAACTGTTTCAATTAAGATATGTTTAAAAAATTGCTTCGAAAATTCATAAAATTTTTCGTGCACGCGATCCTACGCGCAAAACCCAAACCAAAACCATAAAACCCCGGAACTGCAATTTGAATATTCTAATGAAAAATATTCTGTTATTTTATGACATGATTTAATTTTTCGATTATTCAAAACTGTTCTATTACTTAAAATCAATAAATGTAAGACTAAACTCTCTGATAATAATTCTATTTCGCTTATCATTCCAAAATAATTGCTCATTACGTCACGTCATGTTCGATTGAGTAGTTTAATAATCATTTATTTACTTAGTAATAAATACGTAATCCTACATAAAACAATAATTGAGTAATTTCAAAATAACATATTAATGTTCTCTAAGGGCAAATACTCAAATGACATTTTTTTAAAAAATATTATGCACTTAATAAGTAAAATATCAGGAAATATGAGTTATTGGTAACCTCTTAAAATAAAGTATTGAAACTTTAAAACTGGAATTTTAGTTCTGGGATCGAACATTTCTTTAGTAAGGAATAACTGCAATGGTAATTGCTGGACATATAAATAGAATGTTTTTCACCAAATATTTTATTATTATTTTGACTCTATTACACACTGCAAGTCCTCATTCAAATCATTGCAATGAATATAAAAAGCACTGTAAGTATACACCTAAAATATTGCAAAATTTAAATTTAAATTCAATAATGAACTAAAATTCTTTATAGATTTTAGTAATTCTGGTTGTAACTGCTTCAATATCAGCTAAACCAATTCTTGGTGGAAAACTTTTAAAATTAAAGAAAACTCTTTTAAGCCATATAATATCAAAGTTACCAATAATTGCTTCTGGTTTACCACAAGATCATGATGAATCACCTATAGTCGAAGTTGAAATACCAGCTGTTGAAATTGAATCACCACCACCAATTGTTGTACAACATCCACCAATCGTTGTTCAGCAACCGCCAATTGAAATTGAAGGACCACAAATTGTTGTTGGAGCTCCACAAATCGAAGTAGAACCACCGCAAATTATTGCTGCACCCCCACCAATTGAAGTTGTTGCACCTCCAGTATTAGAAATCGAAGGTACGCCAACAGTTGAAATTGAAACTTCCAATATAGTACAACCAACAGTGATTGAACAAATACCATCTGTTGTTGGAGAAGTAGGATCAATTGTCGCACAAGTACCATCAATTAATTTACCCACCGTTGGAATAGAATTACCATCTGTTGTAGCTGAAGTTGGAACATCATCAATCGGAGGTAGAAATTTTCAGTATAAATTTAAATAAAATAAAATATTTTATGTGTTATTTAAAATAAAAGAATAATTGATATTTTAGTAGGTGGCGCAGTCCAAGTTGGCACTCCCACTGCATCAGTTACAGTCGATTCTGGAAGCGATGGTGCACTTCTAAGTGCTGGAGTAGTTGCTCCAGGTATTTCGACTTCAGCTCAAATTGGAGGTTCACTTATTGTAAATGATGTAGGATTACCAGATGTTAGAATTTTAGGTTATGATTCTGGAGCACGCCAAACATTAATTAAATCACCTCTATCACATAGAGTTATTGGACAACCGCATGCTTATGCTTTAAATAAATTTGCTGAACCAATTGTTGTAAAAGATTTAGCAGTTAAAGAGATTGTACAAGGTTCAGGTACAACAATTTTAGAAACCCCAAATTCATTTGGTAGTCATACAGTTGTAGAAGGACCAAGTGGTAAAATAATTCATTCACAAGCTAATTCAACACCTTTGAAAGAAATAAGAACGAGTACATGGTAAAATTATGTGGCAATTTAGTTAAATCCAAGTGAAACTGATTATTTTTTTTTTGTTTTAAGAATTTTTTTTTTAATAAAACAAACATTTTGTAAATATAGTGTTATACAAATAAATAATAATATACAAGCGTACATATACATACATACATTAAATATTTTTAATGATCTTTTCCAATTCCAATAGCAATCCAAATTGCAAGAAGATAAAAGAGGGGAATGAAAATGAAGACAATAATTTAAGAATGAAATTGTAATTTGATAATTCGTGTTAAAAACTGCGTAAGAGTAAAAAAATAAATAAAATTTATAAACCACGGTAGCACTCATGCAATAATGTTAATGCAATAATTAATACCCATACATACAACATTACATATACCGTTACTAACGTGTACTTAACAAAAAACAGCACAACAAAACTACAACTTTATCAAACCAAATTTAATAACGACTACCATGAACTTGACATTTTTCACACAATAATTAAGTAATGTTAAAAATTTTATTGAAAAGGAGAAAATTTTTAAAATTTAAAAGACATGTTTTTGTTTCAATTTATAATTTTCAAACGACATTTAAATTATTGTAAAAAAAAACAAACATGTAGCAGGTACACAATTTCCGTTCATGTACTATTAAAATAAATTTTTTCATTAAAATATAAAGAATTACATAACAGAAACTACTTATGTATGTACTTAAAATTATTAAATGTAAAGAAATGAAGCTCCGTATACAGTTGGCTAGAAAAACTTTGGGATATTAATGCAAATTATTTTCAATGTAAAATTTTTTGTATTAATATCCCAAATTTTTTTTAAAGTGTATTTAAGTGTAGGACGGTTCGAAACTTCTTTGCCAATTCGGACTAAGATAGGCAGCATTTCAAGACCATTCTGCCAAGCAGCAAAGAAAATATTTAAAACTGAAATTTTGATTGGATTTCTGAGAGTGCTGCCAGTAAGTTCTTTTCCAGCGATTGGAACTAAAATATATTTTAGTTTTGTCGGTTTAAATTAATTGAAGCGGAAACGCATTCTAAATTGATTTCTATAATATAGTCCATTGATTTCGTGAATTTTTTCGAACTTTTGTTTATTTTCGATGTAAGTTTGCAAATTTTGAACAGAATCAATATTTGTGATTGGAAGTTAAGTTGCCATAAAAGAAAGAGTCAGATAATAATCAATTTCGGATTTTATAAAATAATGTAATAGTATCATGCTATTATCTTTTAAATTTTCTGAAATTGACTATCAATATGACATATAACTAAAAACATCGATTCAATATTCACCTAAACGGAACGTTAAATTCAAAATAACCGCATAATCAACGTAATGTTATTGTTCACATAAATATAAATGAGAACTAATTACAAAAATTATAATAATTCTTAGCACGCAATATAATTAAAAAAAAAAATTATTTTTGTATATTTTATTTTTATCAATACTAATTATTTCCTGATAATTTTGTGTAGTATGTATGTACACATGGTATGTACATAGTCAAAAATATTTTTCCTCCAATATTGTTGAACCTTTAATATACTCAAATACGTAGCATAAGTAAATGCGGTATTGAAAGGGAAAAAAAATGCGTCACATACAAATTAAAATTTCGTTTAAAAGCATCAAGCAACTAAAATTATTACGTGTTGATGACAAATATATTGTAAATTAAGGCCAATGAAATAATTATAAAAGTTTTTACTAAAATTTCAATATAAAGTATCAATAAAGCCTTCAATATTGTTGAGAATTTTAAATTATATTCATTTATGTACATATGTATGTATGTGTGCAAGAATGTAATTAGAAGATGGACTACAAATATGTAAAATTAAGAATTGGGATCGTAAGGCAACGGAATAATGAAATTAATTCATTGATTGATTTTTGTAGTTTTCTTTGAAATTATTTGCATTGTGTGATGAAAATAAAGTTAAAAATTTAAAAAGATTTCACGATATTGCAATAATTCAAAATTAATAACCAAAAACGCATTTACAAATATACATTTTAATTTGCATTTCGCACCTATATAAGGAATAAGAATGCCACAACACGAAATATTGCAAAGATGGGCAATACAAAATTGGTTTTTTAAAATTAATATCAAAACTTTAGAAAATATTGTGTGTTGTAGAAACAAGTTCAGCTCTGTCAATAACAATTTTAACATTTGTAATCAAATCTATTGCGCACACAAATTTATGGTATGTATGCTTTTGTGTGCGTAAGTAAACGTAAGATAAACAGAGAAAAGTGAGCAAGTATTTTACTTTAAAAATTATAAAAGCCAAAAAATACATAAATGAGCGCTAAAAATTTTCAAATTAAAATGAATTCAAGACAATTTTTTACATACGTAT